TCTCTCTCTCTCTCTCTCTCTCTCTCTCTCTCTCTCTCTCTCTCTCATGAAATAAGAGTAGGAGACATTAGAGCACATCCAGCAGCCAGACTTGAATGCCTGACACGGGTTCAAAAATGCTTTCTGTGTGTGCGTGTAGGCCCGTACCCTCTCCACAAACACACTCATACTCATCTCACCACAGGTCAGGGCATTTCTGTGAATATGTCCAACAGTTGGAGGTCTATTAGAAGCAGCTGGCTAAGCTGCATGGTTTTGGGCCCTGCCTTCTTCGTCTGCGCGGACCCTTCCTAACCAGTTTCTGGTCTAACGTGCAGGCTCATGTTGAAGTCTGTTGTTTACTCTGTTTTTTTTTTATTTTAAAGAAAGAGGTTATAGTGGTGAAGGGGAAAGTGGTGGGCAGAACATTTGCATGATGTTTGAAATGATGACGATGGTGTTGAAATATTTCTGCCGCGATATTTGTGAAATAATGTGTAGTGGTTATCATGCAGCAAGTATAACCTTGCTTTGTAAAGACGGAGTGATTAAAGATGCTCTATCGGTCCATCGATTGGTGCCAGGTGCTCGGAGGTCTATAGGTGCACAGTACGTGAAAGGCCTGTTGTGTTGCTGTGAAAAAGCTATTTTTATTTTTGTTTGTACACAGTTTTTTAAATTTATGTTTGTATAATTTTGTTAGCAGTGTTAGTTATTACACAAATTTGCTTTTAAATGATTTCAAGCTGATTTACTCCAGTCCTTTTTATGTGGGCATTGTCGAGCGCTCTCACAAGCTGCACACCAGAAGAGGGAGCGGTTTACAGTTTCTCTCAATAGCACGATTTTTAAAACGGGGCTCGTCTTGTCAAAACACGACACACAATCAGATTCGATTTTGTCACCGTATGGCGCACACACGGTTCATCTGGACACCGATTTGTTAGAGTGAGGTACATGAATATATTGACCAAACACAAAGTGTTGTGTTGCACAATGATATTGATTCTCTCCACATTGTGACAGCAATCAATGCATCAATGTATTTCCAAGGGTTCCATGCCTCTTGTCATGCTGTCTGATATTTCTAAAACCCCCGTTGGGCTAAAAGCAAATATCAGGTGCATCACCTAAAACATGTTTGGACACACTATTTAAAACAACAACTTGTTTTTATGTGCTTTCTTTGCAGTGCACCTACATTTTATATGCGACTCCTTTGCAAAAAGAAGTCAGATTGTATAGAAGTCCATGTTAAAATGACTCTACTTCCCGATTTATACCCTCAGTGAACATTGTTAACCAAGTGTATGATCTCAATCTCTAGTTTCAAGTCTTCTTCAATACAGCATGATGTTCATTTATTAAATTAGGGTCCCATTTAGAGTAAAATAGACCATAAGGCAGGGCTTGCTTTAGGGGTGGTTAACTTGTGATTGACAGGTCGCTACCATGGCGTTGTTCCGCCTGGGAGTTGTCCTTGTTTTTGTCTTACAACTAAAACCCTTTTACAGTGTGTTTACACTTCGTGAAAGTTAATTGTAACAACTTGGTTGCCTGAAAATGTCTTTATCAGCTTTTGATTGTAATTAGTTTCCACTTCATATAACTTCTGGTTGCAAAAAACAAAGGCTGGAGACGGCTAAAATGCAGAGAAGACTACTCGTTCTGCTTTAATGCATAAATTTCACAATTTTTCTCTCAATTGTGTACTTTCATCTTGGACAGCCCTGAAGTGGCACAGTGTAGGAGCCTTCGCTAAAGGGCCAATTGCAATGTCTTTGTAAAAATCTTTTTAGAGCGTCTGACTCCCTCGGAGGAGCTCTTTCCTGGTTGTTTTTACCTTCAGTGAGACGTCTGCCAGCACTCTCTGTCTGCCCTGCACTTCATTTCCTGTAGCCTGAAGCACTTAACTCCACTCAGGCGGCCACCACGGCTTTCTGATATTACCGGAATGTTGACAGAAGCATGGAGGGACACAAAGAAAGAGAAAGATTGAAGGCTAATGTTAAATATCCTAACCCTTTGCTGCAGGCCAACACACCCCTATTGTAACGAAAGTGTGTGTGTGCGCACCTGTTTCTAACAGATTGAGGTCGACCGCTCATCGAGGGTTGTGAGTGAGGAGGTGGTCCATCAAAGCCATAACCCCATTCAAGGGTTCCCTCAATGTTTTGCATTTATGTCTGTGCACGGATGTATGCACTTGTATAATCGTGTTAATGAATGCGAGTGAGTGTTTCAATACCTACTTCCCACCCTTTAAGGTAAACATCCACACACTCCAGAGGACAATCTCTATTTTGCTTTTCAAGTTTTTCTGGATGTTAAGTAAATAGCCTCGGTGGTATTTGTTAACGTAATGTGTATGTATGCCTAAGGTCCAATGTAGGTTCAGGTTCAATGTATTTTCCTTCTCGTAAAACATTTCCAGAGCCCTAATATTTCTCATCTCATTGTGCGCATGCTCCTTTGCTCCATAGTGAAACCATTTTGTTCTTCATCACAAAACCTCAAAAATATATAATTGCATTTTTAGAGATATAGTGTAACGATATCAAAGATGATAATAGTGATTTCTGAAATACTGGACTAGTGCAATACTGTCTCTTTGCTCAATAAATGCATCTAGGCACTGGATCATTTATCTTGAGGGATCTCAAACGTAGCAAAGTCAGCTGTACTCCTAATTACCTTGTCATAATCTTCAAAAGTACTACAAAACACGAGTATCCTAACTTCTCTGTACTTCAGCTCTGAAATGTATAACTTTAAAGAACTGTGCCCTAGATTTCTGTCCATTAGAAATACAAGTGAAGCTGTTATTTATTGTTCGACATAACAACTTCAAATCTTCATTGTCTTACAAGCATCAGGGCACCCAGAGAAACACTGCCATAGCAAATGTGTCTGAATGAGCTCACCTGTCCTCACAAAACACAACTTTGACCTCAGTGTCCCCAGACACATACAGTATATAGAAAAAGGTAAATGAGTGTCCCCCAGCTGTCCAGAGAGAGGGTGAGCGTGTGATGCAGAGACAGAGCAATCATTCCACAGTATTTCTGCTTTTTCTTTGGAGGAACCCCTCAATAAACTTGGGCTTGCAACATCAATCTGTGTGTGTGTGCATGCTTTTCTTCTGCAGCTATAGAAGGGTGCTAACACAGACATGATGTGACCTCTCACCCCATAACCTGTTTTTTTTTTTGTTTTTTTCCCTCTTTGGCTTCAACCTCACACCATCACCCCATCTACTCCTATGACCTCCTCCTCCCTCTCCTGACGGCTCCCTTTTTGCACAAACACAGATGATCAATAGAGAATTGAGGAAATATGGGAGAGGCATGGTGCTGGCAATGGGGGTGCCAAGTCAAGGTGTGTGTGTGTGTGTGCGTGTGTGTGTGTGTGTGTGTGTGTGTGTGTGTGTGTGGGGCAGAGGTAGTGGGAGGACGTTTGACCACAGAGGCCTTAAATGTTTACCAAGGGACCCCAGGAGACCTGGGCTGAGCCTCCCTCTTTTCTGATTGGCTGAGGCGGTCTTCCCGCGAGTCTGAGAGCCTGCAATTGGCAGAGAGGAGGAGAGGAATGGGGGAGAAACATGCACGAGATGGAGATGAAGCACCAGCCATGCCAGGGCTTTCACAGAAGCTTTCACATGAGTGAGGGGCTGAGACTAATGTTGGGATTAGCATGAGGCCACATGTCGGAGTGGAGGGACCGCTTGGCCCCCTGTTATAGTACTTTAGTTTCTCGACCGATTAAAGAATGTTAGACTCTGAAAGAAAAGACAATGTAAAGGAAAAAGAGGAGCAGAGAACTTAACCCGTCAAAAATAAAAAAGCTGGTTTGAAAGTGCTCATCAGAGGGCTGTTAAATTCACCCTGATCATAGGGCTTTTGATGAGTGGAGAGATGTTTTTAATCAGGATTCCAGACTGACAGATTATCAAAACTGAAGGGAAAGTGTCTGACGGGATCTTATGAGCAATAATTGATTGTAAATGGAGCATTTTAGGCAGGCCAGATTCACCCGCTTCAATGAATTCTTGCATTGTATGACTTGGCTCTTTATAGCCTCTGACACTTGGAATACACACACACACACACACACACACACACACACACACTTGTGACTGCACGTTTATGTTGATGGACTGAACTGGGACATGTTTTACACTGTGTATGTTGTAGAATATACTAACAAGTCCAGTCTTGCAAACTACAAGTAGCAAACTTGAATTTTGCAAAGATTTTGAGATTCTTGTCTTTATGTTCTTGGTTTCTAGTTTTTGTTGTACTATCTTCTAATCTGTAGTAAATCTAATCCAGAAAAAAGTAATGGAAGGTGTTCTGATTTGAAATAGCTGCCAGTACTTTGATGTGTGCTGTTATACGAACGCTCATATGAACTTTGCTCATATATTCTTTTTATTTTTTTGCCTCTAGGTCTGGCAACGCTCTATCCAAGCTTGTCGGTCTTTAAAAAGAAATGTGCCTGAGCTGGCCACATTGCTCAGTAGTTGTCACTCTGTATGTCAGAATGTTGTGAAATAGTCACTTGCCTTACTATTTCTAGGCACGGCAAACACTTTTCCCCATTAAAAAAAAACAAAGAAGAATTTCTTATGCCAAAATACGGCCACAGTTGCCCTGAGAAACATAGCCTCTACGTTTGGGTTTGCTGGCTGCGGAGACAGAGCTGTAAATAGCCACGGGTGTGGACAGAAAGTTTGGGCTATATTTAGAGGTTGGACTTGAGAGTTGGCAACACCAACTTATTGACCAGGAAGAGTTTTTCTATATAACAGACCGTATACATTATTTTAGTTGTAGGTAGATGGCCTGGGTGAGAGAGGCAGTCACCACATTTCTGTCTGAAAGGTTTTGTTGGAATTTTCAAGTCTAGTTTCTAGAGGAGGAGTCAATGTTCCTATTGCCGTGGTACAAAGACGTCTTGCTAGATTCTCACAGCATGTGATGATTGGACACCAAATGTCACTACTACTATTCGGTAATGTGGAAGTGATTTGGCGTTGGATATGAGCTGCTATAATCAGTATATGTTTGTGTTAACAGTGGATCAAATTACTTTGTGTGAGGGTGTCACAAGTAGTGATGACACACGGATGGTTATCGTATGACTCTGCGGTTCCCCTCAGCTCGATGGAGCATTTTAGCGTCTTTCATTGTTTTGGTTATACGGCCTCCATTCAGTCTTGCTTTGGTTAACTCTCACCGCTCACATCTATTGTTTCTGGAAGCAGCAGCAGTGTAAACTCTCTGCGCAGCACCAATTGGCAGACAAACAAAGTTCAGGACCAGCTGGTGAACATGTTTGAGTATTAAGCAGCTAAAAAGTCAGATGTTTCCCTCAGAAAGCAGTGAAGACCAAAACAGGGTTAAAAGAAGGGTGAATATTTGACTTTTCATGTGTTTAGGAACATGACTGAATGATAATGTTGCCCCATATCTCCTGGATGTGTAGATAAGCAACGGTTTCCTAACAATTCCCCCCCATATCATGAACAGTATAAGAAGTGGCCGTCGCCATCTTGGTTGTGACACGAGAGTACAACCAAATGCTGAACAAGACTTGTAGGCAACCAAGATGTGACAATTAACTTCCGTGAACTGAAAACACACCTTGAAAGGTTTAAAGTTGTAAGACAAAAACACGGACAACTCCCAGACCTGACAATGCCAAGTGACATGTCAGTCCCAAGGTAGCCCCGCCCTAAAGCATACACTGCTTTATTTTGTATTTTACTCCAAATGGACCATAATTTACTAAATGAACATCACGCTGTCTTGAAGCAGGCTTGAAACTAGCGATTGAGACCACAAACTCATGTTTACAATGTTTACTGAGGTAATAATCAAGAGAGTAGTGGAGTCATTTTCTCATAGACTTCTATCCAATCAGAGGAGTAGACTGCTGATGACCATTTGAGATTATGCAAGTTTAAGGCACTTCCGCATAGGCTTCACTTTTCAGACCTGGAGGTTGCCGCCTGCCCCATATCAACTTAAAAGGTGATAATGTGTCAGTGTTGTGTTTACATCTTGTTTCTGCTGCCCCCAAGTGGCCATAAAAATCAATGCGGGTTTAATATTACCAACATGTGGTGTTACGCTTATGCAGTGTTATTAATCACTGTTCATAAACCAGAGTAGTGTAACGTGGACTTGAGTAATGTTTCAAAATATTAGACTTGGCCTCGGAGGAACAGCAGGTACAATTATAACAATTTAAATTACCCTGATATTTAATTCACACCCAGTTGGCGTTATGAGGGGTCACTTTTTGCTTCTCTCTCAAATCACTCTTCCTGCTGTCATTTCTAAACCTACAGTATATATTAATGTCTGGTAGGGAAATCATGGCTAATGACAAAATAATTAAAAATGGGTTTCACTTCGAGAAATGTTTTATAAGAAATGACAAATGGAGAGAAAATGTTTCGAGGAGATTACACAAACGAATAACACTTACTGCTTACATCCAACCTACACATGCTGCAGCACCAACCGGGCATGATAATTAGTTATTCCCTGTCCCGTGTTAGGTTTCACATACACCAGCTGAAAATAAATGGCAGTGGCACCCACTCACAATTTAATGCTCACTGGGCAGAGAGCAAGAAAGAGAGAAAAAAAAAAAAGGGAGTGAGACCGAAAGTAGTGAGGGAAGGAGGCGTTTTTTCACATGGGCATGTCATCATGGAGTTCAACTGATAATTATAGTCACTGTGTCTCTGTCCCTCTCTCATTCTCCCCTCTGTCTCTCTCTCCAGCATCATGGCTGTCTTGTCCTCCTCCTCCAATCTCCTGCTCCTTCTCCTCATGTCCTCCCTGGATTGGCTGTCCACTCCGGGATCTGCATTTCTCATGGGCCGGCACCGCGTGATGTCACCAGGTATAGGTTTACTGTTTGTTTTGTTTTTTTACTGCTTTTCTTTGGGACAAATATACAGAAGAAACAGATTGATGCAAGACAAAAATCATCCTTCAGCTTATTTAAGCTCTCTCTAATGCAGCTCATCAAACATTAACAAATGTGATTCAGCTGTTTGTGCGCAGCACGCTGTTGACACCCGTTATCGCGTCTTATGTCGGATATCAGTTGCAGCACACTGTGTTTGCTCAGATACATGAGGAAAGGTTCACCGTTGAGCAAACGCCGCTCTTTCCTGGTTTGGCTCGTCAAACAGCCTGGTGATCAATAGTGCTTGGGTAAATATATACGGTCGGAGCTTCTCTGTCAAAGTCCAGGGACAGGACGACGCAGGATGTTCAGCCAGCCAATCCAGCTGTCACTGAACCATTTGAAATAATTAGGTGAAAGAATGCTGCGGCTGAGAAAACAGGCCAAACAAGCAGATTGCATATGATTTACAACTTGAAATCCCCTAAAGCAACAGGCCAAGATGGATGTCTTTTCCTTTTAATTTTCAATCACATAACAGACTGAGGGTTGTGGTGATTTGGCATCTTCCTCTAATGTTTGACGCCACTGCAGCTGGAATTTGGCGAAAGTGCGCAGCCCTGCCAGAAATAATCTCTCTGCTAGAACAGCGTGATTTGCAGAAATCCTCACAGCCAAGATTAAACTCCCAAGAATGGATCAATTCTGCTGTTGACTTTGCTAAAAACCTGTCTCCAACCTTTAAAACGTTGCTGTGTGGCTGTTTGGTTCTGCTACGTCTGCATTATTTGCACTTTTGACAGCAACCATTTTCAATGAAAACCTTTGTTTTTCATGGACCTGGTCCAGTTTGCTTAATGCTATATGTGAACGATTCCTACCTACAAATCCAAAGAGTGTAAAATTAGGCTATGGATTGTTTTATGTATTTAAAATGAGGAATTGGTCATTTTTGGTAAGGATTACATAAAAAAAAAAAAAGTAATTAGCCGCTTATCCACATGCCCTTGGCACATCGATTAGATAAAATCACACATAAAATAGAGCTGAAACAATTCATCCATGATATGACAGAATATCAATGTCTATTGAGATAATCCATATATCAATAAATCATTCATCAAGTAAAAATGAAAAATGTGTCCTGGTAACAACATATTTAAACATATTTAAATGTGTTGATTAGTTGGAACTTTTGAAAAGAAAATGTTTTTTCACTTTCCTTACTTTTTCTTTTTTGATTTTCTCAGAGCTTGGCTAAGCTTCACTCAGTTCCAGTTACATTCGTTTTGCATGCAATTCAAGGTACCGCAAACATTTGGCAACGCAATAAAAGTCGTCGGTAAATAATACATTTTGGCAAGTCGCTGTCCTCCCAGTGTATTCTTAGGTGCGTGGGCATCTGCTCGTTGCGATTAATAAGCGAGCCAGACAGCGTTAGACAGAGACCTGAGAAATCTCCAAACCATCTCTGCCCGTCTGGCTGCTGCAGCACCTGTTGCCAGAATGGAGAGCACGCACGTTACCTGGAGGAATCTTGGCTGTGGGATACATGCTCTGACGGAGGCTTCTATGCACTTGATCCCCGGCTCCTCCGGTCCACATGTCAAAGTGTCCTTGAGCGAGACCCTGAACCCAAAAGTTGCTCCCCGGGCTCTTTACAGCAGCCCAATGCTTTGGATGGGTTAAATGCAGTTGTCAGATTTCATGTATGTACCTGTATCTTTGTGATAACTGAAATAAAGTTTTAGCACTGGGTTCCTGCACATGTACTCGGCACGTGTGAAGGATTTCTCTGTACCCTTCATTTGCATCTGTACTGCCGATGATCCCTTTTTAATTCGATGCACAGTAGATGACATTGAAAGCTTTTTCTGGTGCATGGGTCAAACAAACAGGACTTTCTTTTCCAGGAGACCGCTGTTCGTGTCCCGTTTGTCACGTCAGTAGTCACGTGAGTTGTTACTTACATGGGTCGCTAATCAAAAGACTTGTTTTGTCACTCTCGTATATGCGAGTCGTTTGTCAGTCAAGTAAACGTCAACCACGATCTTTTCCGAAAACTAACTAAATGGTTTTGTTGCGTAAACCCAACTTGTCCAAAACTGATTCTAGACCACTGACCAAGCGTTGGAATATTACGAGTTGGGATTGTGAATGTGTTGTCAAGGAAGCAAGAAAGGGTTGATTTTTGAATTTGTGATTGTGCCAAATTTTCATAACGTCCTTGAGCAGGACAATGAACTACTATCTATACCAGACAAATAGTTTGGCACTTCAGTACGGCTGCTCTTTTGTTTTGGGGGTTTAGTGAAAACCAGCTGGGAATATTACCACCGCCATGCACCGGCAAAGGCCAACTCATCTTGTCTTCTTCTGCCAAGTTAAGACGAGAGTCCACACCCTTCTTCTTCTCTGTTCTTTTAGAAGGCTTTATTGGGGAGAAAAGGCTGCCAGTATCAATGCTTTGTGTTATTGGATGCTTTTATGTATTTTAATTTTATATATTTTTATTTAAATGTAGTCCATTGTGCAATCTGCAGCTTTCTTAGCTGCATCTATCAGGGAATAAGGGAATGAGTCAAAGCTTCGCCGGTTGGGGAAAATAAATGACTCAGTGGACTGATGTGGCACAGAAGTTTGAGAGCATTGGTTCAATTATTGTGTGCGGTGAACATATTGTTCTTTCTGCTCTCCTGCTTTAAGTGCTTTTCCAAGCAAAAAAAAAAACATGCCAGGTATCAAAGCAGCCAAAGAAACATTGTCTCGGAGATTTTGGTTGTAAAACAACTCCTCTTCTTTGCCATTACCTTTTAAACCATGGACTGCAGTAATATCTGTATGAACACACTGTAAGCATTGCTATTTGGATCGAGTGATCATTGCTAAAGGTCATGTTGGCATTTTGACTGGAAATGAATAACTGAAAATGTTTTTTCGACGTGTATCATAAATTCGTGGTTACTGCTATGCTCTTTGGGCATTGGTTTTGAAAAACAGCTTGTGTTGGAGAGAGGAGAGTCTCGGTCAAGTGATTTTGGTGTTTAGTTGGGTGTAGCTGAGTGAGAATAACACCTCAGAATGAGTGTCCTGATACAATACTCCAACGGACATGCGACGACATGTGAAAACTAGAGCCACAGTTACAAAATGTGTGTAGAATAGAGGCAGCCAGTCATATCCTAGTTAATTATTGAAATATTTTGTTGATCTTCACACATTAAAAAAAAGTGTGATTTCAACACAGCTACCCCTGATTACTGGTTAAGATTCCATGTTACAAATAAAGTCACTAATGTAGAACCGATGGGTCTGTTTGCGCTGTACTTTAAATCAATTTGCAATATCACACGGAGTTTTGAGCTCCACGTCTTTGCCCTTGGGCCTTTTGACTTTGTACTTGTTCACAGACTTCAGCAAATATCTTTATCTCTGCGGGTTTCAGCTACTTTTTCTGATAAGCTCTCAGACAAACCACAAATACGCAGATGAGGTTTTGACCTGTTTGCCTCCTTAAATCGTTACAATGGTCTCCATACGCGTCTTCCTCGACAACCATTTGAAACATCTGTAAACACAAAGCAGCCACTGATTGCATCAGCAAACGCATGCAGCCTGCGCCTTTCTCATACCAGTGTCAACTCCAACCTGACGCCTGCTTTCTACACTTTAAAACAACTCATCAATCTTGTTGAGTATCGGCGAGTAACCCTAAGCATTGTGATTAAAACCATTTTGCTGTTCCATTTGGGGATCTTAAAGAGCCTTCCTGAAATTCTGAGGGTTATTCTGTTTCTGCAGCATTTCTATGTCCGTTGTAGAGCCAGCCGCATAACAAGCCAAGAGTAGACGTTCGGAGACGCTCCCTATATATTTAAAGGCTTACCACAGTGATTATAGCCACTGGTAGTCGTTTGTCTTGATCTGTCCTCATGCATACACTGTTCTTATTTTAACAAAAGTGAGTTGAAAGGCTAAGTAAGGCTCATTAGCAGCAGGGCAGACTGAGGAGTATCATATAAACGGTTACAGAGAGTAATACTGTTATTTATTTAATATCTTTTTCTATGTGTAAAATATTTTGGTAAATGGTCCGACCGGTGTGATGTAGCTTGATATGCCTAATATCATAATTAACAAAAGATTTGCGAAATAAGAACAAGGAAATATATACAGTAGGCGTCACAAATAATCACTTAACTAATATCAAATTCTGATGGCAAGTACAGTCCCATTTTCTTAGAATATGAAAAATTAATCCCAGGAACACTTTTTCAGAAAGACAAAGTAAGTGAAAAATGACTCTTAATAGGTGATTTATTTGAGTGATGGAGGTGAGTGGAGCGGCGGCTACAGCTTAGAAACAATGTCAGGTTTTCGGCTCTCACTTGTAACAATTGCTACTGAGCCATTTTGACTCATTTCTGAAACGGGGATGTCCCACCTCAGTGTGAGGCCGCACAGTCGCCGGCTGAAATGAACATGTTGCTTTGTCCCAGTGTGAAAACGTCTGACACCGTGCTGAAGTGTCGAGGCCGGCAGAATGGAATAAACCAGAAAAAAAAGACGAGAGAGAAGGGTGGGGAGAGTGTGCCCTCAATATATGCAGGTGTCCAAGCTGGAAGACACCCCCGCTCATCTATATTTACTCTCACTTGGATGTAATATAACATAACTAAGCCAATACTGTGGGCTGTAATGGCATTAGGGGAGATTAACATCGTTAGTTCAGGCTAATAAATCGCTGGCGGAAGAAAAAGCTGACTGGGTCACTGCATGGTCAAACACATCAAATTGTCTCTGTAAGACTTCAAAGCTATGAACACTGATGGGAATGATGAGGATCAGATGGAGCGGCAACTCGTCGCTCTCTGGTCCCGAACTTAAAGAAGGAAGAAAAAAAGCCATAGGTCCTGTTGTGTAACTGGGAGGAAAGGCGGAACGTTTTCAAGGAACGGGACAATGGAACTTTGATATTCTCTGTCGGTTTTTGTTTTGAAGGTGTAAGTTCAGTGTGTGTCCGTGCACTCGTGTGTGAAACTGCTTGTGCATGTTGGTTATTTATATCACCTGTTTGTATCTTGTGGCAGCCTCTCACCTTTCTCCCCCTCTCTTGTGGCCCACTTATTGCTCTTTCTGGCTCTCTCGATGGCCTCTTGAATTAACCTCCACTCCTAAGCGGAGTCCAAGGAGCCCCGAAGAGGACCTGGGGAGAAAAAAATGTATGGGTTCTCCCGAGAAACGTTTGCGTGATATCTGAATTTGTAATCGTTCGACCGACTCGTTTATATGGCTGCCCCGGCCAACTTCAGCAGCGCAGTTGGCTGCCAGGAGAGGGTCGTCAGCTTGATTAAGCTCACCTTGGCCTTCCAGGCTATTAAAGCTGTGCCCTTCTGTGAACTCCGTCTCTCCCTTCCTACAGCTCACATCCACCCTGCATCACCTTCTTTTGAATTTGCACCTTCAACGCCTCCACACCACACATGGCACAAATCCCAGCACTGCTCATATTTGCTGACACTGCTGATCTACACACTTCATTGTTCATTAGCTTTATAAATGATGTTTGGATTGAAGTAAAACCTTGCGTAGACTCTGTTTTTGTCACATTCCCTGAGCTAGTTTGTGCCACAGACTAAAGATGAGACAATTAGCTAGCTAGCTCACCCCACGGTCCCTCTGCCTCACTCACTAGGAGAACTACTACTACTTTGCTGGGAGGAGAGTGGACAGCAACTCCAAAAAACTCCAACTTCAGTTAGTGCTGCAGCTCTAAGTTCAGCCAATGCAAATCCAAGCGCCGGGGGTCTGACCCCATACACTGCTAGACAGGTGAGACCCAAAACTGCCGCTGGCCACCCTCCCCCTGGCCACCGGCTCAATTGCGCTGGGGGAATTTAAGATGCTATAGCCGCTAACTGAAGCTCGTTCTCTAACAGCTACTGAAGCTCAGAAAAATAGCGATATGGGGAACTGAACCTGATGGATATACTGTTCATCAGACCACAAATGAGATTTAGCTAGCTAGCTGTGACGGGAGGTCAGTGTCTGACCCGGAAGTACTTTGACCTAATTTTGGGGGGTTTTTCGCAAACGTTTTTGCAACATCTTTACATATTTTTCTCTCAACCTTTGATCCCCCACCCCCCCCTCCCTCTTGTCCATTCCGGCATTCCGGGGCTTCATATGAGTCAGTACGGATGCATTTGTGATACAAAGTAAATTCTCCTAGTCTGTTCATTCTTTCTCTTTCTCATCATCCAAGACACATTCCCTGTGGAAGACGAGCAACGCCGTCTGCTGCACCCACATTAACACATCTGCTGGTGTGTGTTGCAGAAAAGAGCATGTGTGTGTATGAGCTGTGGTGCAGGGATATAATGTAGAACTCAGCATGTGTGAACTGACAGGCACTTTTACGAACAGTGTAAGTATGTGCTGTCAATACCTCCATCTGGTTAACAGAAACACACACACACACACAGACAGACTGGCATGGGTGCTGCGATGGCAGTCAGAACTACCAAATACGTTTACTTCAGTGTTCAAAGCGATGCCTGCCTGTTCTGGAGACATAAAGCAAGTGAATATTGCTTCTCTAAATACACAATGTTTGGGCTGAGATAACATCAAATAAGCACTTTATGTTATAGCTTTACCCTAAAAAGGTTACATTTTCCTGTTAGGGTTAAATTGAGACTTGCAGTGGCAATTCAGCTTCGTGTGCCTCGTAATTGTGTTTACGCTGTCAGTAGAGAGCAGAGTACGAGTTTTGAGTGAACTGACCTGAGGACAAGAGGTTCTACTGTTCAGCAGCCGTGTGTGTGTTCTCTTCAAGCGTAGGGCAATTCAAATCAATTACGTGCTAATGGCACAATGAAGAGACACTCAATGTCCATATAGCTAGGGTTTATGTGTCGGTCTATATGTGCTTTTTTTTGTGTTATTGTGCTATTTTTGACAGTGAGAAACACATAAAAGCACTTCCTAAAACCCAGTCACTAACTGTACATGTAGTCATAAAGTAAAAGATGATCAAACTGCAATGTATCAACGTATCCCCTACAATAAGAAAAATGCTAGATTTGCACATTCACTCTCTCTGACTGTTGCCATCTATCTGTTACTCTCTCTTCCTCCTGCTCCTCCTTACTGCACATCTCCTCTCTCCTTCGCAGCCTTTTGAAGAGTTATTAACCTCAACACTATAGCTTAAATCTGCAAATGAGCTGGAAAAGGTGATAATTCATAGCACAATAGCCTAGTTTCCATCCCGCTGCTCATGACAGTCGAGCATTTCCCAATACGGGAACTGATGAAGCCTGGTCGCACCTTTTCTCCCCGCAATTTTTAGTGCTGTTTGCCAGCTGGGGCAAGGGCTGGGAGAAGAGGGCTTTATTTAGGCTTTTTAGTGGATTTTAAACCTTAACGGCTAAAGCTGACATCGAGGTAGATAAGTGGTTTCCTAGCTCCCCTGTATGGACTGATGAAGACAGGATGTGAAGCTAAGAGCTGTTTATCAGTCTCAGACAAACACAGCCCTCAAGGGCCGACAGATATACAGACAGGATGAGCACACACACAATTAAGTTTCCCAGACGAAGGCTTTCAACGGCTGATCATTTAATGGCAGCTGGCAGGTACAGGCAGGATTTAGCTTTCCGTTACTGAAACTGGTTATGTATTAATACGTGTAGAAAATGGGGAACAAGCACCAAATTACTAATTCTATGCATGGCAGTTAATTAACGCATAGCTGTCAAGACTTTCCCCAGTGGCTTGTGAGCCAGTCACAACTTGAACAGTTTCAGTTTCTTTTTTCTTTTCTTTTCTTTTCTTCTTTTTACAGCAATACATGGGATTAAGCCTTATCATATCAGAGAAGAAGAGAGAGAGTATGACAGGATTAGAAAATGAGTGTGAAAGAGAGACACAGAGTAAGGGGAGAATTGGACACTTTCCAGGTGTTGCTGCACAACCTTTCACCTCTGACACACTTCAGAATGACTAACTTTAAACTTTTTTTTTTTTTTTCTTTAAAGGCTGTACCTTCTGACCTTTGCTAGCAGAGCCCCATTCTTTATGGAGAGGTTAACTTTCAAAACAATCGCTGTGTGCTTTAGAGTCTTCTCCACCTAGACTACAACAGCTATGCCTGCACATGAAACAAGTGCAAGCTGCCTGAAATGTTGCCTCACCACGAGACATATTTGAACCCAAAGACGTGCATGTCCAAGGTGTTATTTCACTTTTCATGTAAACTGTCCTGCTGTAGTTCTAAGCACTCCTTTGCATCCGGTGTCAGCAGAAAGCTCTTTGATGGTAGCAGCTGGAATTTGTTGGTTGGGGGAGGGGAGGCCCAGTTGAAATAGCAAAGCTCTGGGAACCAAGACAAAAGATGAAGGGAGGGAAGGTGGGTAAGGCGGAGGGAGTGTTGAGAGCTCCAGGCGTTGAAATGCAATGAATTATGAGGTTGCACTGGCATCAAATCGACAGTAAGCAAATTAATCGAAGCAATGGTGCAAATTCTGTGTGAATAAATGATGAGTATTTGCTGTCTGGGCTGCTGGGGGTTGGGCTTGTTTGTTCGGGCGTTTTGTTGCGGTGTCTGGTTAACTTGGGATGCATGCTAGTCGGTTGTGTGCAAATGTCGTATGCATTAACATGCTGGTAGCGTGTTTTTAACCCTTTTTTTTTCTCTTTTAAAGATTTAGCAGCGGTCCGTGAGTCTATGTGGAGATAATTATTGTTTAATGTCTATGAAATCAAGCGATCCCATGACAGCGCCATGCTGCATTTGCGAGGCATTGCTCCATCCAGTCTGTCTTTAATTTAATTCTGTGTTGTGAAGCCTGTTTATGTTCAGGGTCTGGTGTGTGATTTATGCTGCAGCCAGCGCTGGAGGAGAGCGAGTAGAATCGATGATACCTTCACGTGGCTTATTTATGATTGCAGCAAAACCCCGGGACTCTCGTGGATGAATGAGAAACTGGCCTCCGACCGGAGGGGGAGGTGGCATGGGGATTGGCGATGAGGAGCGACAGGGTGCAGAGGGAGAGAGATGGACAGGCCTGAGTCAGGGCCTCGGGGTGGGGCAGATGAGAAATTGAGTGAAATGTGAGTGGGTTAGATCTAAAGGTTGTAAAGGCACAGGGGCTGAGCTTTGGTGCAGCCTATAACTCTTGTCTTTCAACAATTGGTTTTTCTACTCACAGATTTTCATGGAGCTGGAATTGATTTTAGAGTAACACACGATGCAGACTGCAAGTTAGCCTAATCTCCCACCAGCAGAAAGTGTTTCCCCGCTGCAGGGCTATCATCTCATGGCGGCTGGCTACTACAGGAAACTCGTAACCTCCATCACTGAAAATTCATGATGCTACAATGCAATGTACGGTGTACGTCAAATTATGCTAACAGAGAGGAACACGGTATGCCCTTGTGTGTTGGAAAAATACTTCAAATATCATTTAGATTGGATTGCAGCTCGCCTGCTAGTGTGACAAAATTAGATTGCCGTCATGGTTTAAGGAGGAGTAGGGATAAACAGGTGATTGATCAGTCTGAGCTCTTCTGTTTATCCTGCCTCTGATCCTCTACCTTTCTTTGTATCGTTCTCTCGCTGCCTTTCAGCTCCCCTTGAACCTCATATCACAGAGTGCATATCGAGGGACCAGGTGACATTCCAGTGTTGGTGGAGTCCAGGCAACTTCCACAACCTGTCCTCCCCTGGATCGCTCAGACTCTTCTACATTAGGAAAGAGTGAGTGTGACAGCCGCAGTGCCTTCTTTACCGCAAGAAGTTCAACTCATTGTTTTTCATGTGGAACACTTTATGTATCTGTGTGTGCATATATGTGAGTTTAACGCAAAGTCCATGTCTTCCTTTGCTTCTTCTTCTTCTTCTCTTTCTTCTGTCATTGTTCCCCTCCTTCAGCTCGCCCACCAGTGAATGGAAAGAGTGTCCCGAGTATGTTCATTCAAATCAGGAGTGCTTCTTCGATGTCCCCTACACGTCCATTTGGATCACCTACTGCATGCAGCTTCGCAGCCAAAACAACATCACCTATTACAACGAGGAAGACTGTTTCCATGTGGAGAATATCGGTTAGTAAAAATATTTGTGCAATGTGCATGTATCCAGATTTTTGCAACGCGTCCAATGAATTAGGGTAATTCTACATCAATTCCACATCAATGTACACTCAACATTGTGAAACACGTTCTGTCAAAAACAATTCCTTTCCACCACGTGTGGAAGTAGATGCGCTGATCATTTTCACAGATTGCTGAGTGAATAATTCAAACAGCGAGAAACGTATGCCGCGGGGCGTCAGAAAATGGGCGCTGCTAGTATAATGGATCACCTGCACAGGCGGTTTCTAAGATATGGTGCTGCTTAAACCAGCAAATGTCACATGCTTGTCAATATCACAGTGTCAGATACGCAGTGTTTGCGCAGTAAATGTTTTGTCTGACCGGCCTTTATCTGACCAGGACTGTACAAAAGGCTGATAGATACTGTAGTATCACAAGACGTGTGTCATACAGTTGCTGATATCTCTTCGGCGGAGAAATGTTTGTTTATTAGCTCTCGTCGTGCGCGCACATTGATTATCACCGTGTCTTTGGTCCCCCGACCAGAGCCATCCATCAGGCCAAAAGTTCTATTGTATCGGACGAATTCCCATTAAATCGAATTACAATATTCAGTACATTTCCAATGTTCCCGCTGAGTTTTCCTCCTTCCTTACTCGTGCAACTCTTAGGCCAAAATGTGAAACCTTTACACAATATGTATTTTCATCTAACAGGCTAATTGCCATGAATTATTGGGGATACATCCTCTTAATTTTAGGGACCTTGTTGCTATACATCTAGTTTCACCCTCAAACCAATCTTTACATGTTTAGCCCCACAACTAGTAAGGCTTAGACAAGCATAGTCGTTAGTTAACATGTTCATTTAACGCTGTTGTACTGTGGAGTATCATGTATAAACAATGTATCCTCTATTTATGTATTTTATTTATGTTAGTCTATGTTTTAGCGATTTCAAACTGTTTTTTTATCCGTTCATATTTGGCACATCACACTAACACACATACAGCATAGGTGACCTCCACTCTACTGTAGATTTGTTCATCTACACATAATCAAGTGCATTCAAAGCCATCCATTGATTTACCATGTTCATAAACATGATATATGTAATTCCAAGTGTTTTCTCTCTGTTCAAACTGAACTTTTGTCCTTTCAGTACGTCCTGACCCACCAGTGTCTCTAAACTGGACCCTGCTCAATATAAGTCCCTCCGGGCTAAACTATGATGTCATGGTCAACTGGGAGCCCCCACCCTCTGCAGACGTCAAGGCAGGCTGGATGCGCATTGAATACGAGATCCAGTACAGACCGAGAAATACCACAAAATGGGAAGCAGTAAGTCTTCTCTTTACTTGCTCCTGAATGATCTCTCTTCCTCCTTTGCTTTTATTTTAATGCACACACACAAACACACAGTGGTAACACTTGGGAACACACACACCTTACAACTTTACAAAAGGCCTCTGTGCGCAGGCACAAGCTGACACATGCAAACACTCTTTAAAGTAAATTGTAGGTAGGTCATACAGGCACCGTGTCGTGTTTCCTTTCCCCTCCCCCTCCCCTGAACTTGTGTGGCTGAAATGCAGTGTAGCTCTGTTGGCAAGGCAGTGGAAGCCAGAGCAAGGCCCTCTGGGAAAACACAGCCTCTCTGAAGGAAGTAAAGGGAGGGATCTGTAGGTCAGAGGCCATGGGACCTTGCACAGGCTCGTATTCAGTGATGCGGGGCCAGCCAGTCTGACAAATGCAGCTTGGTAACTGTTTTAAAGCCCTCCATTATAACAGTATGTCCTCCGTTTAATGTATCTGAAATGCCTCAACAATTTCACTTTTGGAGAGGTCACTCTTATACTTACCAAAACTAAACCTAGACGTCTTCAGTCTTGATCAACAAAAAACTGAACCCTTTTCGGATTAATTAATATACCCAGCAAAATATATATATATACGTACTGTATGTATATATATATATATATATATTTTTTTTTTAAATACCTTATCTGTGTGTTTATTGTCTCTCTCTCTGTCTTCCTTCGTGTTTTTGTACATCAGTTGGAGATCCAGCCGCATTCCCAGCAGACAATCTTCGGCCTGCACACAGGAAAAGAGTACGAAGTGCACATCCGCTGCAGGATGCAGGCCTTCACCAAGTTTGGAGAGTTCAGCGACTCCATCTTCATTCAAGTGACGGAGGTTCCCAGCAAAGGTGAGATCAGCAATCAGTCATTTGGTAAAAATGTAATAAATAAATATCACCCACGGCTTCATTTGGGTCAGACAGACAGGGTGCACACATCATTGAACAAGGAACATTGTAGTTGTGGTGATGATGATGATGATGATGTTGGGTTCTGTTTCCTGCTGTCTTGTAGACTCTACTTTCCCGCTCACCCTGGTTCTAGTTTTCGGGATTGTGGGCATCCTCATACTCGTCATGCTTATTGTCGTCTCTCAGCAGCAAAGGTAGGAATGGACTCTCTCTCACTCTTTCATGCACGTATACCAATAGTGTCCAAACCATATTCAAACCTCGTTAACGATGGCAGTTACGACGGGGGAGGTGTTCGAAAAATCAGCAGCACACTGTGCAGCGTAGCTCTCAGCGTGGCACACACACACACACACACACACACACACACACACACACACGCACAAATAGTGTCAAGTGTGAACCGATTATCTTCATCATGTCCACCTCCTCTCTCCCCTCTCTCCGTTACAGATTGATGATGATTCTGTTGCCACCGGTTCCTGCCCCCAAAATCAAAGGCATCGATCCAGAGCTGTTAAAGGTACATATATGTCTGTGTTATTATTCTGCCTCATCTGGGATTTTTCTCACACATACTAGACCCTGACCTACACATATTGGCATACCATTGGCAGTCCTAAAGATACCAAGGATGCTGTATGTTTGTGGCAATTCAAAACTGCAAAATGTCACTTTTATTGGATTTATTGTATGCATTTATTTTACAAAACAAATATTGTCTTTTATATATATACAGTTGTGTGAAAAAGTGTTTGCCCCCTTCCTGATTTCTTATTTTTTTGCATGTTTGTCACACTTAAATGTTTCAGATCATCAAACAAATTTAAATATCAGACAAAGATAACACAAGTAAACACAAAATACAGTTTTTAAATGAAGGTTATTATTATTAAGGGGAAAAAAAAATCCAAACCTACATGGCCCTGTGTGAAAAAGTGATTGCCCCCCCCTGTTAAAACATAAATTAACTGTGGTTTATCAAAGTAATTGAGATCTATCAGTCTGGAAAAGGTTACAAAGCCATTTCTAAAGCTTTGGGACTCCAGCGAACCACAGCGAGAGCCATTATCCACAAATGGCGAAAACATGGAACAGTGGTGAACCTTCCCAGGAGTGGCCGGCCGACCAAAATTACCCCAAGAGCGCAGCGACGACTCATCCAAGAGGTCACAAAAGACCCCAGAACAAAATCCAAAGAACTGCAGGCCTCACTTGCCTCAATTAAGGTCAGTGTTCATGACTCCACCATAAGAAAGAGACTGGGCAAAAATGGCCTGCATGGCAGAGTTCCAAGACGAAAACCACTGCTGAGCAAAAAGAAAATAAAGGCTCATCTCAGTTTTGCCAGAAAACATCTTGATGATCCCCAAGACTTTTGGGAAAATACTCAAAAGTCTGTGGACTGACGAGACAAAAGTTGAACTTTTTGGAAGGTGTATGTCCCATTACATCTGGCGTAAACGTAACACGGCATTTCAGAAAAGGAACATCATACCAACAGTAAAATATGGTGGTGGTAGTGTGATGGTCTGGGGCTGTTTTGCTGCTTCAGGACCTGGAAGACTTGCTGTGGTAAATGGAACCATGAATTCTGCTGTCTACCAAAAAATCCTGAAGGAGAATGCCCGGCCATCTGTTCGTGACCTCAAGCTGAAGCACACTTGGGTTCTGCAGCAGGACAATGATCCAAAACACCTCTGAATGGCTTAAGAAAAACAAAATGAAGACTTTGGAGTGGCCTAGTCAAAGTCCCGACCTGAATCCGATTGAGATGCTGTGGCATGACCTTAAAAAGGCGGTTCATGCTCGAAAACCCTCCAATGTGGCTGAATTACAACAATTCTGCAAAGATGAGTGGGCCAAAATTCCTCTACAGCTCTGTAAAAGACTCATTGCCAGTTATCGCTTGATTGCAGTTGTTGCTGCTAAGTGTGGCCCAACCAGTTATTAGATTTAGGGGGCAATCACTTTTTCACACAGGGCCATGTAGGTTTGGATTTTTTTCCCCCTTAATAATAAAAACCTTCATTTAAAAACTGTATTTTGTGTTTAATTGTGTTATCTTTGTCTAATATTTAAATTTGTTTGATGATCTGAAACATTTAAGTGTGACAAACATGCAAAAAAATAAGAAATCAGGAAGGGGGCAAACACTTTTTCACACAACTGTGTATATATATATATATATATATATATATAATTTGTTTATTCAGTAAAGTGATTACATAAAGTGTTGTGTAACCACTGTTTGTTTATGTATTTATTTAGTTATTACGTTTCCATTGTAATTTTGATGAAAAACAGACACGGCAGGGCAACAGTTGGCTGAGGCATATTAGGCCCCGTAATCATCGCACCACCCACTGTTCCTCTCCCGATCATGGCCTGTTTATCATCTTTGTCAACTATCAAATAAAAGCATAAATAATTTCAAAGCAAACAGGCACTCTTGTTTTGCGTGTAAGTAAACAAGGACAGGCGTACCACCGAGGGGGTAATGCGATGTGAAGGGGGTCTTGGTTCAGCACTGTGTTGTGGGTGTGTTATTGACAGAGGATGTGGGATGCATTTAACAGGCAGCCTGTGTGCTCTTTACAAAACACCCTCACCCATGGACATCAGGAGGGGAAAGTACTTATAGGAATAAAGACAACAATAAGGCTGCTATTTCATGCTGAGACAAAGGTGAAACACAATGCGTCAGGGCCGGAGTAGGACTCATTGTTGTCCCGGGGGGGGATTCCATGCACAAAACAAAGCCATTCTACCTGCTTACTCTGGAGTTACAGGGTCATGTTTGGCACTTGGCACTGCCTCTTTTCCACTGCGAAATACGTCGGTAGCTTTTATGTGTCTTAAAAAGTGACTAAATGAGACAAAACCTCATAATGGCGACAAGTCCAGCTTCACAGATTAGATTAGATAAGGTTATCAAAATTAACAAAACGTGTAAGTATCATAAACGTTTGATTGCCACAGAGCTTTCTGCAGTAATCCCAAATCCAATGTAAAAATCACATTGGCTTTTTGTCCAAGGAACTAGTGCAACGCTAACTTCTGGGGGTGGCACTCGCCATCCCTTAATCACTCGCATTATAATGCTCCACACATGTATGCGTTATTTGAGTACAAATTTAAATGAAAATGCATTAATCCAATTTGCATTTTAAAGCAAAAATGGAAGAGCAGTTTGACATTTCATTTTTGAAGTTGTAGCCGGTGTACAGTGGACCATATTCAAATGAAAATGCAATATAAACAACTTATCTTTCCATTTGTGCGAGCAGTATTTAGTTCACACTTTTGCAGGTTTTTTTCTTACCATTTGAAAATGAAAACAGCATTTGACATTTCATTTCCAAAGACTTAACCATCTGCACTTGGGACAATATTCAAATATTAAATCAAAATTGAAAATTAAAATGCAATACAACCAACGTAGCCTAATTTTCCAATTATGCAAGCAGTATTTAAGTCACAATTAGAATAGATGAATAAGTCATTACATCCTGATTGCCACACACACATTAACATGCATATTTGTGTCCATGTAGAAAGGGAAGCTGGACGAGCTGAATTTTATCCTGAGTGGTGGAGGTATGGGTGGCCTACCCACTTATGCAACAGATTTCTACCAAGACGAGCCATGGGTGGAGTTCATCGAGGTGGATGCTGAGGATGCAGACACTGGGGAAAAGGAGGACAACCAGGGCTCAGACACCCAGAGGCTCCTGGACCTGTCTCAACCCGTCAGCCACCACATGAACATTGGGTTCTCCAATTCCGTCAGGTACTGCACACAGTCTCATGGACAGTAAAGGCTGTGTTTTCATGCTGCCAGATGTCTCTATATATGTGAAATCCTTTTGTTTCCCTCTCCCTCAGCTTCCCTGACGATGACTCAGGCCGGGCCAGCTGTTATGACCCAGATCAGCCCGACCAGGACACCCTAATGATGATGGCCACCCTGCTGCCGGGCCAACCCGAGGACGGAGAAGCCTCCCTCGATATCGTGAAAAGAGCCCCGGCTCCAGAAAGAGGCGAGAGGACCCTCGTCCATACCCAAACCGGAGGGCCCCGGACTTGGGTCAACACAGACTTCTATGCCCAAGTCAGCAATGTGATGCCCACCGGCGGCGTGGTGCTGTCTCCTGGCCAGCAACTCAGAATCCAGGAGGGCACCTCGGGTGCAGAGGAGGAGACGCATAAGAAGGGAAAAGAGCACAAAAGCAGCGAGGACAGTGAGGTAGACAAGGAGAAGGAGCTGCAGTTTCATCTGCTGGTAGTGGATCCTGAAGGAGGCAGCTACGCCGCAGAGAGCAACGCCCGGCAGATGGGCGCTCCCCCCGGCTCCCCCATGCCTGGCGAGGGTTATCAAACCATACACCCTCAGCCAGCGGAGACCAAACCTGCAGCCGCAGCAGAGGACAACCAATCCCCTTACATTCTTCCTGACTCTCCCCAATCCCAGTTCTTTGCCCGAGTTGCGGACTACACAGTGGTACAGGAGGTGGACAATCAGCACAGTCTGCTCCTCAACCCGCCTCCCCGCCAGTCTCCCCCTCCCTGCATGCCACAGCACCCCCTCAAAGCCCTACCCGCCATGCCCGTGGGATACATCACCCCAGACCTGCTGGGGAACCTGTCCCCGTGAAAATGACAATGCCATTAGGCCTTTTAAGTGTAAGACTGATTTACCAGGACGCCCCCTTGCAGTTAAAAGAGCCTGTTTCTGCCTGATTCCTGCTGGAAACCAAATAACTCGCAGCCCACAGTGTGGATGATTGAGTACAGGTGTTTGTTTTTCGGCGGTTGCCGAATGAGAGACGGGGAAAAGCTACCAAGCTACGTCAAATTATTTGGTGCAAAAGTAAACGCCACAAACCAAATGCACACTTTGCTCCATTTGTTTGACACATGCAGATAAAAGGCCGAGACTGTGACTTGACTTGATTAGCTCACCGCTAAACTGGATCATATTACACCTCTGGCTAATATTGTTAAGAGCAAAGGCATTGTTGAAGTCTTGATTACAGACAGATGTCAGTGTGTGATTTATCAGGAGGAGACGAGCACATTCTAGCCATGTTTTTTTTCGCACCGCACCGAGAAGAAGCCGCCGTCGATACCTCTTGCCGGCAGAGATGCTTTGCCGCTCAATTGTGGCTTATTTTTGTATTCTGATCCCCGTCGTGTCATCTTGTCAGTAGTTAAAGGAGAAATCCGCCCTAAAATACAGTGGAAAAAAACACTACTATGCAGTTTTACCTTGCATTCCTGGCTTCGTTTTGTTCAACGCTGTTCATATTTGCATGACGACCTGGCCAAATTTAGATGATATGGTGTCAAGATATTTTTCTCTATTTTTCTACAGCCACAATAGAGTTTTAATAGGAGAAATACTTTCAACAACTGAAAACAAACCATACAGTATAAATGCACAAACAGACATGAGTCATTGGGACAAAGCTATTTCATATATTTCCTTCCTTGGGGGGGGGTATTTAATGAAGGAAATCGCTAACTGAAGTAGAAGCGAAGGTGATGAATGAAAGGGAAATTTCACCATAAACGTATTTATGTAATGCATTGAATAATACAGACTGATTATACACATCCCAGCATGGAATTCCTCGTTCCATTTTTATTCTGACATGCATAGCGAGAACACGTCACTTTACAGCGCTGGATAGTCATTCTTTAAGAGGATTTGTTCATATTCATTCGCAGCTGGGAGCCGCTCAGCGCGCGCAAACAGCGCTGCAGTACACCGTGCACCAACAAGTGCCTTGCTCGAGGGCACATTGATATAGTTATTTAGCAGAAGGGAAGGGACACAGACACACCTGTTGTTGCATTTCATCCTGCGATAGCAGCAACCTCTACAACCAGCAGCCACTCGTAGTGACTTGACTGAAACCTCAATGAGCGCGCTCTCTCTCCCTGGGAGTTGTATTCTTCTCATGTTGCATTGCTATTGCGGGGACAGCAAGTTGAAAGACTGTGAAAGTATGTAATAGCTGGAGTAAGCTAACATTTTATACGTATTATCTGCCGAGTACGCAGGCTTAATAACTTGTGCCTATTGATAGTGTTATTAGCTTGCCATTGATGTGTGCTATGGCGTGCTTACGTAATTAGGATTTGTACATTTATGCATTATTGTACTATGTGTAGGTGAACTGATATGAAGCCTCTACTAAACTAAAAACCTGCACATGCACTAACACAGCTTACACACACGCTACATAAAAACGTTTGCCTTAATTGTTATTTAATTTTGCATCCCTGACATGGTCGTAAACAGGATGAGCTGAATTTTGTCAAAGGCAACCGCTGCATGGGTGAAAGGCAGCTAAACCCTAATTTGCTCATTTCCGATCACGCTCGTAAAACTGACCACAATTTCCAAAAACAGAAATGTCGATCAGGGGGGGTGATGACAGACTTTGAGTTCCACGTTCTGGATTGATAGAGCGACAAATACATAGATAAATAGTTCGTATTTTTTTTTTGCCAGAAAACCTGTAAGATGTGTGTAATTATGTATCGATTACTTTGCCCCCCCCATACTTTTCTTCGAACAACTAAAAACTTGGGCAGAATCTGTTGCTTAATCAATTATTTAGTCACATTAGATTGTGGCGCAAGCTGCCCTTGGTTCATTGACAATGCAAGCACTTTTTATAATAGCCTGTGTAGGTGAGTTGTTAGCAGGAGCGACTCCTTTTGTCAAGGTTCTCACCGTAAAGACTTCAACAATATGCCGACAAATATATATATATATATCTATAAACTGTGAACGTTAAAGAAATGTGCCATTTCTCTCTTTCTGTCCCTGTGTCTGTGTTCTGTTGTCGCTGCCTTGTGTTGAGGACACCAGCAAGTCAATGCTGTTGCAGAAATGTCTTAATATATTCACTAGTGCTGTAAAATTACAAGTGT